TCCCTGAGCGGGAATGCTCTGTTACTCCCTCTAAAGCCTCAGGAATAGAACTGGGCGAACAAAGCGGCCCCTCGCATCCTTGAGGCGCCACAATAGGACATAAACGCTACAGAATTATTTTAACCTTAAAGCTTGAACATAGAGTCTGCCTCGAGCTGTGTGTTATTCCGTAATGACGGAAGAGCCAATAAGAAAGTAACAGCCCCGTGTCTCCGTGCACGCTGCCGAGGTGCCCGGCCTCCCCTACGGCAGCAAGGATTTGGGGCTGGCAATGTTTTGAGACCACAAACTGAAGCACCAAAAGTTCCACAGGAACTTAAGGAAAAAATTTCTTCCCAGTGAGGGTGCCAGAGCCCTGGAACAGGCTGCCCAGAGAGGTTGTGGAGTCTCCTTCTCTGGAGATCTTCAAACCCGCTTGGACGCAGTCCTGTGCCACGCGCTCTAGGTGACCCTGCGTGTGCAGGGGTTGGACTAGATGATCTCTAGAGGTCCCTGCCAACCTTCAGCATTCTGTGATTCTATGATTCTATGCAGTTTCCTCCAGGAGGGAAAATTCGGGAGCAGGTTGCCTTGGCAACTCCGTGAAAGCAGAGGGAGACGCGGGACCTTGTGCGCGCGGAGGCCCGGGATGTGTTCACCAAACTGGGTTAAAGGACCGAGTCCCGGAGCAAGGCGGTGTTCCCTGACCTTGCAAACCCTGCACTCACAAGGGTTACTCTTGTTAAGGTTGGCACTCATCACACAGGGAAGGGAGCTGAACTCGGCTCTCACACACTGTCTGGAACAGCTGGATTGAAGCAGTGCAAGTGCCAGCTGTTTTGTAAAACAGGCAGCCTATGCAGCGCTACGTCAAGTAGAGGGAACAGAAGGAGACGCGTCCCTGCATCACGGAGCAAAGCCTTAAACCAGGGAGAGAAAGAGGTCTTAAAACACTTGCTTTAGACAGTCCCTTCACTTCCATCTTTCAGCTCTTCAAGAAGCACTTTTGTTCGTTTGTAATCCTTGTTTGTTTGCAGTTTTTTTTAGCTGTTTCCATAGGTGACTGATTTCCACTCCACACACCTCTTATAGGAGCCAGCAGGATTATCG